AATTTGACAGATGGAAAATAAATTACACTCTTCGAAAATCCCTCTCTTGTTGATCGTCCGATTTTCGAATAGGTGTTTGTCAAAATTGATTCCTGATTCGTCATAAATAAGTCTGCTCGAATAGCAGGTTTATTTGAAAAATTTCCATCCGTCAAAATTTAGTGAAAATTCACCAAATGGAACACAGCCTTAGTATCACAAAAACGGATTACAAATTCGCGGAGCTTTGGAATATTTGTTTATGAATTTACCACTATTACGGATTATCTTAATCTTCCGGAGGACCAGATCCAAATGCATTCATGCAGCGTCGTAACAAGTACCATAAAAAACATGGGATCACAAGTATGCGGTATGCGATTTAAATTCATTTATGTAGCATCACAACAAGTGATTTAAGAAGATCACTGAGCCATAAGATGTTTTTTTTTACGAATTGACAACCTTCACGCATGTTTCGGATCTTCCTGAGTACAGTTTCTTGAGCCCCTGGGTCGGTAGTTCCATCTCAACCTTCAATCTTCATGGATAGGTAGGGGAAATGGATGTAATGTCGGCCTAAATGCCCCTAGTTTGGGCCCATACATAAATTCAAAAATCGACAATTTTCAAAACCGACCAAAAAGATCTATTAGTACCGTTCCAATGACGCGTTCATCTTGATAAAATTGATAAATAGCAGATTTTTAGCGATGAGCCCAATCTTAGATCCATAGGCCAACATTAGAGCCATTTCCCTTATATCAAAATTGTCGAAAAAATAATCGCGAAGCTCTGCAATCAGTTCCAGCTCGAAGTTCGACAACAAGTTTAGCAACCACTGGTGCGAAAGTCAAAAACATAAATTAACAATCGTGATAGAAACGACCGGTGCCGTAAACTAGCTGTTGCTAGCTGTGAAGCCAGAAGCAGCGTTTCCAGATTGTTTCAAAGCTTATCTGTATCAAAGGTTTTAAAAAATCGGTATTTATCGGTACATATTTACTATTTATTTTATTTGATATTTTTGCCCTTTTTGAAAGCGAAAATTTTTACGATGGTGACGACTGGGATTTGAGGGGAATTGCTTTGTTTGACGGCTTTCTCAGTCTTAAAACAATTCTTATTTTTTATTTTTTTTTATTATTGTTGTCCTCAAGTGGTGATCAAAATTGTGACCAAGATCAATTAAACATCATTAAATGAAACCAAAATATGGAAAATCAGCCACAACAACGACTAAACTATTGACAAAAAGGCCAAACTGTATTTTCCCTTGAAAAAAGCCACAACCCATGGCCGAAATGTCTGGCAGATTACATCGTAGTCGTTGCAATGTTTTAAGACTGAGAAAGCCGTTAATCAAAGCAAAATTTTAGCTTTTGAACTATGATCGGATTCCGGAAGAAAACTACAGGGAATGTTTAAATTAGCTTCTGAATGGAGTTGAAAAAACATCCAGAAAAAGACGAAAGAAGCTCTCCTGGATGAAGTTCGAGAAAAGCTGGAAAAACATCCAGGAAAATTCCAAGACACGAATTGAAAAACTTGTGGCGAAAATTTAAATAAACTATCGGAAAAAAATCAGATGTTACATCCAAAGGAACCCAAAAAAGTTTCGGAAACCGGAAGTAAATTTCCAGCAGTAGCCATTTCCAGGGAAAGCCAGAAGAAGCTCGAAAAACCCTTCCAACAGAAGTCGAACAAAAAAAAACTTTTGGCTTATGGTCAAACTTCCAGAAGAAGACGAATGAAATTTCTGGGAGAATCAATTGAACTTCCTGGAGACGCTGGCTGAAACTTCCTAAGGTAGATTGGAAGAAACATCTGAAGAAAGTCGGAAGCCAGAGCGTTTACGGAACAGTCGAAAGAAACAAGGACATAGGACGGGAAAAAGAGATTCTTGGGGGATGTTCTGACGATCCAGCCCCTTGCATCAGCCCCTCAGGACATTGCAGAAAATTTCGGAAATTGTCTCAGTTTCTCGGAACTCCTTTATAGTTTCTGCAATTTCATTGAAATTAATTGATCTTTCCTGATGTTCTCTGAGCTTCACTAAAGTTCCTGAAAACCATTAAATTTCCCTGAAGTTCTTTGGACTTGTGAAGTTTCCAAAATATTTATGATGTTTCCTTAAGTTCACTGGAGTTTGCTGGACTTTTCTAAAATCTCCGGGTTTTCGAATATTAACAGAAGCTAATGAAACTGTCTTTAATTTATCGAAACTTACACAAAAGTCTGGTCTTTTCTGAAGTTTCAGAACTTCTTAAATGTTCCTCCAGCTAGTGTGGATCCGCAATAAAAATCTGATAGTATCCTTGAAGTTCCGGGAAAGTTGAAAAAACTGGCGGAAGAAGATGAAAGAATCTTTCGAGCGAGGGTGGAAGAAAATTCCAGGGAAAGGATGAAACTTCAGGAAGATTAAAAATGAATAAAAACTTCCGGAAGTTAAATAATGTTTAAAAAATATTTCTCGATTCCCTAGGAATTACCGGAAAGAGCCATCGACTATTTCTCGATTGTTTGTTCACAACATTTTCTCTTGGCGGGGAACTCTTAGGCTGTGAACCATTTGCCGAGTTAAATTTAACTCGTGGTTAAAAGTGACATTTCGAAAGTTATTCTGTATGTTCGAAAATCCCTGTGTTATCGATCGACCGGTTTTCGAGAAGAACTCATCCACGGTTGTCAAAATTTAACTTCTTGTCTGTCAGAAATAACCATGTTCGGATAGCAGGGTTAATCGATAACTTTCCATCTGTCAAATTTTAACCAAAAGTTAAAAAAATCCACCAAATGGTTCAGAGCCTTATTATAACATCGACTCTGGGGCTGAGCAGTCAAAACTGAAAATTAGATGAGGTATCACCGATTGTGTATTATCATCAACATCGCCTATCCAAATTGTTCATCCATGAGCCCTTCGGAAAAAAAATCTGCACAAATTAAGCTGAACATTGCATTAGGTCCTAAGTAATATTGACAGATTCTCTTCGTCGACTTTCTCTTTGTATCCCCACGGCCATGTAAAGACATTCACAGATATTTTCAGCACACAGATAGGTAAAAGAAGCTTTTATCTAGCATCTAATACGACAAACACAACAAGGAACGGTTATGTGCTCAAGTTTTTAACGAAAGAGAAAGTCGACGAAGAGAATCGGATCGGAACTTGGGATCTAATGCAATGTTCAGCTTGAAATGACGTTTAACCTCGATGCAGGTGGGCTACAGTCGTATGTACTTGACTGGGAACTGCATTCCAATTAGCAAAGGGTTCTGTAAGCCACTTATCTTGAAAAATACGCCTTTTATTGAAGATTGCTGTACAAGAGCATAGTAGATTAATAGCGAATTCGTTTATTATCGGGGTTAACACCAGTTCCAACCCAGTGCGAAACCGATCTTTTTGTCAGTGTGAACCTCAACCTGAGCTAGGTTTTAAAAACAAACGAGCGAATTGACGTCTGTCAGAAAACAAGCAGACCCAATCTTGATACCCGATCCAGTTTGGAACTGAATAATAAACGAATTCGCTATAAGTCTCATCAATGCCCACTGGTCACCATAGCCCGTCGAACTCAAGACGAATCTAGAACTACCGTTCATACCTGAGTACCGCGGACTCACTCAAGGTGCTTGTCACTTGGGAGCCAGTGACAACTGTTAAACGGGAGCCAAACATTCAGAAGCAACACATGTAGTTACTATTATTACCTATCGTCAAGCATTGCAATCTAATAAAAATGATTCATTCTTTTTCATAACACATTTTCAATTGTAAGCTCAAAGACAAAAACCAACTATGACTCAGCTGAGTGTAAGCAAACTTTGATAGAGTAATGGAGACTCGAGCACTCCTGGTTCAGAGCTTTTGGCGGGAATCAACTGAGAAAGAACAAAACATTTTTAAACTTGAACAAATTTTCAAGCAGTTTTCTAATGGCTTGCATAGAGGTAACTCCAGAAGGTCCCGAAGAAACAGCTCTGGTCAAGGGCGTAGCCAGGTTTCGAGCTAGGGAGAGGCGAAAAAAATGACTATGGAAAATTTGGCCGAATGCCATTTCCTCGAAAGCCTTTGTGTTGCTGAGTTTAGGGGGGGGGGGGGGGCAGTCAACCCCTGTGGCTCTGGTACTCTCTTCGGTCCCAAGCTAATCGATGCACCCCTAGAAACATCGGAAAATCTACGAACCACTCATTTTATCTGTAAAACTTTCATAGCGAATCAAAACAAACATAGTGTAGTACTAGAATTTTGAATAGAATGGGGCACGTTTTGATTGGGACCAATAGGCTAGTCAAGTAGTGAGCCAATTTTAAATCGTTATACCCCGTACAGACTATGGCCTATACTGCCCATAATCGCATTTCAGTCCCATATGGATAGGAAGTCAAGCAAAGATGGGACTGATATGCGATTATGGGTAGTATATTATGTAATATAGGCTGTCTTGCAATGAGCACTCATACATCTAGTTTTCACTGAAAATCCTATCACAGTCTATATTACATGATATAAGCCATAGTCTGTACGGGGTATTAGTTTCCTAACGTTATAACGGTTGATACCTACTATGCTCCTATTCCTTTTTCCTATTCGCCTTTTTCGTTACATACAGCTGAACAACGAGTATACCAGTTTTTGTAAGTTTTGATAAGGCCCATATTTAGCCAAAAAAATGAAACAACGTGCCTATGGTTACTTGGGACTATGCTCCTATTCCTAAACTATTTTTATTCTGGCCATATTTTGCGAAATCTGTTTAGAAGACCAATGAAAATATGATAACAGTAGTCTACGCGATATTGCTTTGCACAGCACACGAATGAATTCTACACTATTAGCAATGTGCAACAATGTCTGTTGACAGAGCAATTTGTTTTATTAAGCGATACACATCACATTTTTTATAGTCTTATCTGCAAAACTACAGGAAATTCCTGGTTCTACATCTAGTCGATTCCTAACCATAGATCCTTGTACTTATAGTTAAACATTTACAGTTTATGGAAACACTTACCTGCGAACGCCTGGCGAATGCCTCGTCGATTTTGGCCAGCGTCTGGCGGATGCCCTGCTTTACGTCCACTTCACCCATCACTCGTCGAATCATTAAGTGCGGAGGAGGAAGAGAAAACTGCAATGGTAAAGTCGCGAAATAAAAACGTTTGTTTGGGCTAGCTTTACAGATGATGGATGACGTTGTCCAGCGAGATGTCACGTAATAGATTTTGTTGTCTGAAGCTGCAAGAGCTGATAATGTAACTTACTTGAAAATCTCTTATCAGCCGGTTAGTGACTGATGGAGGAAGTAAAGCCAAATAACAACAATCGCTCAGACTTCAAATTCTTGCAACAGTTAACAACACAACAAAGTAGGGTTTTTGATCTAATTTTCGTCCTACTAAGCCCAACTCGCACTTTATGGAATATTTCTAACAAGATGTGTGTTAATTAAACGTCACAAATGATTGAGACATTGTTAAAAATCTAACACGGCTTCTTGATTTCAATTCCATTATACGAGTTTCAATTCCGTCCAAACGCATTGATACGCCATTAGATTTTCTTCGTCATATAGCAAAAAATGGATTCGCTTGGGACGCTCTATTTGGTTTAACTTTATTTAACTTTATTTGTTCCAAATTAAAAATATGTGTCATTTCATTTCACCCTAGGTACTCCAGCTACTACAGTAACTTACCAGCCTATAGGAACGCTCTTTTGTTCCTGATGAATGTGGGCGGCTTAGTAGAATACCTGTATAAAGATAGAGAGAAAGATTAGTAATTTCCATTTAATTCCTCTACCTTATTAGCTTATTCTTGACAGATACGCGTATTTCGTCTACCATGTGCAGACTTCTTCAGTGTCTTGTACTAATACTCGACTCGACATTGTAGACGAAATACGCGTATCTGTCAAGGATAAGCAAATAGGGTAGTGGAATTAAATGGAAATTACTAATCTTTCTCTCGTTTTTTTTTTGTTTTTTAGGCGTGACCCGAGGTGTGACCCTAATAATAAAATACCTCAAACGAATGATAACCCAAATCGTAGAACTATCCAGCATTTAACGAGCGCTTATGGCCGCCACAATCTGACTGAGTTTTTGGTAGGGAACATATGATTTGACGTTTGGGTTGTGTCGTTTGACGTGTAAACGTTCAAATTTGAACGTTTACACGTCAAACGACACAAGCTAAACTTCAAATCTTATGCTCCCTACCAGAAACTCAGTCAGATTGTGGCGGCCATAAGCAATCGTAAAATACTGGATTCCATAAATGGTTTGGTTGATACTAAAAATACTCAGAGGGAGAGATAAGCGGAAGGAATGTTCTGAGCCAATATAACTGTCAAAATCTGAGCCAATCAAAGATTCCCAATAGAATTTTTCCGAGGATTTCTTATTCTTACTAGATTAATTTAGAGAGTATTGCAGTCGAACAGAAATTCAATCACCTTTATGTTTCGTGTGCTTCTCAAGTTCGACTAATTTTTGGAATCAAAAACAATATTCTAACTCTATTGATTAATTGATCTTAGTTGGTTAACTAATAGCACCAAGAAATGTGCAAAATATTGCTATGCACTCAATTAGTATTTTGCACGTAAATCGAATCAAAAGTAAAAATCATGTGAAATGCTAGTTTCTAGCAAGGGTTACAAGATTATTTAGGTACAAACTAGGGTACAAATCCCTGCTGCCGAATTGTATTTTGTTTTCTACGCCCATATCTCCCTCTGAGTATTTCTAGTTGATACCTGGAACGTGACATAATTAATGCATCCCACTTTACTTTACGCATTAATGGAGGCGGTGGGTAGTGCCGTTCACGCACCGCTATTTGTTGGCTGTTTTTCAACCAATGGAGCTTATTTTCTGTAGATAACTTTAGGCTGACACTAATCACAAAAAAAAAAAAAAAAATATCAGCGTAATTGGTTGTAGGACAGTCGAGAAACAGCTATCGGTGGACGGTACCAACCCGAGTACCAACCATCGCATAAATTGCAGTTTAATAGGCTTGGTGTTGTAGCTTTTGAACTAACGTAGGTATCGGAACGAATGTATTATTGATTCGTGCACGGTGAATCTTAATAAAATTTTTATGTATATTTTGTTTAACGACGTGTTCGGGGTATCTTCCAAACAATTTTTGGAATAGTAATATAATTGGAGCTATCGTTTGTTAATGGTAATTTTTTATAAAGGAAATCATTGATAAGTATATTGGTTGCATATATTGATGTTTTCCACTCGATACAACGGAAATAGGCGATTAAGACGAAGTGGCGCCCTACCCTATGAATATAGGTAAATATCGGACTTCGAAGGGGATCGAAATTAGAAAGACAGAGAGTTTGAACATGCATCACTTTGGCATCAGCATTGAGTTGTTGAAGGCAATGTTGCACACAATGTTGCGTACAACAGTTGAGTAAACGTTGTGTACAAGAACGCACGGCCGTTCAAACTCTTCAGATAGAGAGTAACTATTACTTAGATAAAAGAGACATTTCTACAAACTTGGGTGCACTGAGTGGCTGAGTTATCTGCACGGCAAATGAATCGAACTCATATTTGAGTCTCGTCCACTAAATTAGCAAAAAATTAGATCACTAACAGAATGAGTAAATTTTCACTAAAAAATATTCTTTTTACTCGTTCTGTGTAACCTACACGGTAAGAAAAAAGTAGCCAACGGCCAGTTCACTTAAACCTACTACACTTACTAGTTTGTTTCCTATTCTCCTTCTAATCCTTCTAATGTTGTCAAAACCGGAGGAGCAAAACCACCCAACAGGGGTAGTAAAGTGTGGGAACCCAACGTTGAGTACACAGCAAAAAAAATGTAATATATATGTAATTCAAGCTGATGTATGAAATAATGATGTAATAGCAAAAAGTAGGTACAATATTACATCTATGGATGTTACCGTGTACACTTTTGCGAATATGAATTAATGGAACTCAAAATTTGAGTATATTTATATGAATCAATTGATAATTTTAGATGGTCAAGTTTTGAAACCACCACAGCATGCTTTTGGCGCTACTGTATATGGACGATCAAATGTAAAATACTGTGGTAGCCACAGCATAGTTCTGTCAAAAACACAGCATTTTCATTGATCCATTAAAAAAGATATTTAATATGAATTAAATTAATATGCTGTCGACACGGAGATGAAAAACTACTCAAAATTGTTCAGACACAGATTTATATCATGTTATAGCACTATCTTGATGGTTGTTTCTGTGTTGCAATTATTTGACAACCGTTATAACATGTTATAACTGCTCAATATGGCCAGAGCTTAACCCAAATTTTAGTAAATCGCATATAGTAGTTTCCATTTAACATTAGCAAATGAAATATATACTCTTAAGTATATAGATTGCTGACGTTTATCGTACACACACTACGTCACGTATACGTATACGGAAATTGTTTTCATCGGGAAAAAATTTAATAGCGGAAAATTTTCCTGATGAAAACAAATCACTGACACAATCATACTTTAGCAATCTCTATATTCTATCCAAAATTAAGTAAAATTCATGTAAATTTGAGAATATGCAATTTACTCAAAAGTAACTTAGGGTTGATTTATCTATTATGTCACGCTCTAGGAGGGGGCGAGGGGGTCTAAGATTTTGTGACAAGCAATGCATTAGGTATAGGAAAAACGTCACGATAGGGGGGGGGGTAAATTTCTCCTCGATTCGAGCCAAAAACTATCCCCTCCCCCCATATCGTGACGTTTTTCCTATACCTAATGCATTGCTTGTCACAAAATCTTGGACCCCTCCTCCCCCCTTAGAGCGTGACATAATATATGCATCAACCCTTATTGCGCTGAACTATATCGTTGGGTCTAATCTCTCGTCCCTTTTTTGAGAACAATAAAGAGTGCAAGTGAGAGGCTGAACTCAATATTAAGTTAGAAGAACTCAAACTTTGGGTAGTATATTTCCTCCGTTTGGATAGAGAAAGTCGATTAAACGTCAAAAAGGTCATGTTTTAAGAAATTTCTCCATCTGAGTCTGAGTAAAAGCTACTCTCTCTGAGTGAGATTGAACGGCCATGTACATGCAAAATCTTGCGTACAATATATTACGATGTTCCAATAAGAACGAATTTAAATTAATTTTATCAGTGAATGCAATCAAAAATAACACAAACGAACGATAACCCAAATTATAGAACTATTCCAAACATGTTTTTGATGATACCCAAACTCTTGATTCGGCTCAGAAATGTGCGTAGATGCCAGTTTCAGCGGACTGGGGATCTGCAGCGTAAATACGAAATGGTCGATCTGAATCGGCAGATCGCTTCCAGAATGGTCTCAATCCGGAACGAGAGTTTCGAGCGGCTCGTTCAGAACCTGGACGACCGTTCCAGACCATTCTGGAAGGTTGCCAAGGTGCTGAAGTCTTACCCCAAGCCCATTCCACCACTAAGAGTCAATGACGAACGGCTTATCACCAACGAAGAGAAGGCCAATGCGATTGGGGAGCACATTGCCCAGTCGCATTTGCTTGGCTCTACAATCCCAAGTTCACTCGAGAACCAGGTTGCGCAGTGCGTCCAGACGTTAGATACCTCTTCTTGTGCCGTCCCTCCACAAGAACGGATTACACAGGAACAAATTTGCTCAGCGCTGAAATACAGTAAGAACATGAAGGTTCCCGGATTTGACGGAATATTTAACCTAGCGTTGAAAAATCTCAGCCCAAGAGTCCACTCGCTGCTGGCTGCCATTCTCAACAGATGCTTGGAGCTGCACTACTTTCCAAGCATCTGGAAGGTGGCAAAAATCATCCCGATCCGCAAACCTGGGAAAGACCCTTCACTACCGTCAAGCTACAGACCGATTAGCCTGCTCTCAGCGCTGAGCAAATTGTTCGAGAAACTCATTCTCAGCCGACTGAACAAGTTTGTGGAGGAACATGACATTCTTCTTCCGGAACAGTTCGGGTTCCGTAAGGGGCATTCCACCGATCATCAGCTAGTGCGGGTGATGAATAACATCCGAAGTAACAAAGCTGTATCCAAGTCCACAGCCATGACCTTGTTAGACGTCGAAAAGGCGTTTGACAATGTCTGGCACGACGGACTTATATATACAAGCTTTGTAACTCCAACTTTCCACCATACCTTGTGAAAATCACCCGTAACTATCTCCAGCAAAGGTCGTTCAGGGTGTCGTTGAATAGTTCCCTTTCGGGACAATTTCCGATCCCAGCAGGTGTTCCGCAAGGGAGTCTGCTGGGACCACTGCTTTACAGCATCTACACGTCGGACATCCCTCCTCTAGGAGACGGTTGCGTGTTCTTCCTGTTCGCAGATGACACCGCGATAGCCGTCAAGGGTAGGGTGCCTCGTGAAATTACGAACAAGCTCCAACGATGCCTTGACATTTTTACTGATTATGCCACCACGTGGAAAATCAAAATCAACGCCTCGAAAACCCAAGCGATCATGTTCCTTCACAGACAATCGCCAAAACTTAAACCGTCTCCCTCCTGTACCGTAATAATGGATGGCACAAGGGTCGAGTGGTCCACTGATGTTACTTATCTCGGGGTGTTGTTCGATGAGAAGCTCCTGTTCCGCTTGCACATAGAGAAAACCCTAGTTAAGTGCTCCGCCTTGGTTAGGTGTTTGTATCCGCTCATTTGCCGCAGATCCCGCCTCTCAAGGCAAAACAAACTGGCTGTCTACAAACAGATCATAGCCCCCGCGATCTTCTATGCCGCCCCGGTGTGGAAATCGTGCGCTCAGACCCACAGGAACAAAATCCAGGTTGCACAGAATAGAGTGTTGAGGATGATCCTAGATCGTCCATTCGACACAAGAATAGCAGACCTCCATTGAGAGGCAGAAATTCCCAAAGTAGATTCCAAAATTGAGGATATGACAACCAAATTTATCCAAAAATGCAATCTTTCTGAACATGCTTTAATAAGCAATTTGTACATAGTAGGTTAAGTGTATATAGTAGAGTAGGTTAGTTTTAAGCTGTAAATAGTAGTATTAAGTAGTTTCTCTTCAAATTCAAAAAACAAAACAAACCAATCCCACCAAGGTGGTCGACCGTGTACTAAGTCTAGGACTAATTCTGTAAAACAAATTTTGAATTTTGCCCATACCTAAAGATGAAGAAAGCAATTAAATCACTTAGTAAAATGTATATGGTAATCATCAAAGTTAAACTGAAATAAAGATCATTTAAACTAAACTTTGATGATACCCAAACACGACGTTAAGCAAAATAACCATAAACATTTTATTAAAGCAGATACTTATCAACTGAGTCGTTCAGAGTCACTCGAAATGGTTGTCAAAAAATAAAAAAAACAAAGACCAAGGCTCAGGCCGTTCGCAATGCTGTTGTATTTTATGAGGACTGTTTCAATTAACCATTTAATTCGAGCAGTTGAAAATGACGTTTCCTACCACTCGAACTTCGAAATAACACAATATTGTGATGGTTTTTCTTCTAGAACCACGAGAAAAGTAGCACAAAGTAGTGTGTTTCATAGTAAAATATTCATTTGTTGGCCCAATTTTTTGAAATCGCTGGTAGAAAGTCACGGTAAAACTGCTTGACAAAGTGGTCCATTTGAAACTAGAACAGAAACGCACCTCTCGCAATGCTGAGTTGCAGTTTCATTATTCGAGCACTATTTTGCACCAGATTTGCAACTGCTCGAGTATTCTGTTTTATTTCTGAGCGAGTTTGAAACACGAATGGAACTCTGTTTCAAATTTCTTTGGATGTATTTAAAGATGTTTCGAAGAGCTTCACAGAAAAAAAAACGGAGAACTTCATAGAGAATAGTAAAGTTTATGGAACATGATGATTACAAACATCTTTTAGAACTGTGCGTTGCGCTGATCGTGTTGCAGTTTTATTTTTGACAGTTTCAAATTATAGAATTAACCACTTCATTCGAGCAGGTAAAATCACGTTTACTACCACTCGAACTTTATAATAAACAACATTTTTCCTTCTAGAACCACGATAAAAGTAGCCAAAATTTGTTCGTTTCATAAAACTAGAAACTGTAGACACATAAAACAATAATTGGTCCAGTTTTGTGAAATCGCTGGCAGAAAGTCACGCCAAAACTGCTTGACAAAGTGGTCAATTGACCTCTTTGTCAAGCAGTTTTGGCGTGACTTTCTACCAGCGATTTCACAAAACTAGACCAACTAATATCTATTTATTTATGAAACGCACAAATGTTGGCTACTTTTCTCGTGGTCCTAGAAGAAAAAATCTCAAAATAATGTTTTATTTCCAAGTTCGAGTGGTAGTAAACGTCATTTTAACTGCTCGAATGAAGTGGTTAATTGTCGAGAAGTTTAAACAATTTTGAAACTCCAGCATTGCGAACGGCCTTACATCCTATAGCGATTTTCCATTTAACGCTGACCTACCCTAATGATCACGTGATTTCAAGAAATGCTTGAACACAGTAGGTCTGGAAGGTCTGTACTCAACCTCATGACATTCATATTTTTTGGAGCCTGAAGGGAGCAAGCAAAATTTTCCGTTTGAATTTTTATTTAATAATCTAGAAAATCCAACAAAAATCCAAAAAGATGTATCAAATGTCAAGAGTTGGTAAGTGGACCATCTTAAATTTCGAAAGCTAAAGTATTGTTATCAGCAACTTCCCATTCTAGGACCCGGACCAGCTTATTACGTGCTCCCTCCGACGATCGGCTTCGCACAGCATGACGTCCGTAAGGATCGCAGGCCCATGTTTACCATGCGAGCGAGACTTACAACGCGCTACGACACCCTCGGACCTGGTCCCGCATACCATCCCGGCAAGATGACTCGAGACGGTCCACCGCGTAATCCGATGTACTCACTCGGCACGCCATACAAACAGCCCAGTAAGTTACGTCCCATTACCCATGTTCCTTTTTTTCAAATTTGATAATATTAATCACCTTGAATAGCTCCGGATAACGTTCCTGGACCGGGTGCGCACCACATTGAACTTGTCCCATCCATGAAGGGCAATCGAGCTCCGGCGTTCTCGTTAGGCGAGCGATTGAAAGACTCCAACCGGGACAACATTCCCGGTCCGGATCACTACGCTTACAACCTGAACGTCTACAAGCATCGCAATCCAGCATACAGCATGCAAAGCCGGACCACCCCGCCGAACGCTTCGGAAGGACCCGGCCCGAATCACTATGGCCCCTTGGATCGAAACATCACCCACAATCGAAGCCCAAGGTTTTCGATGGGACTTGCCTGCTCCGTCATGGGAGACAGGTGCCCCAAACCGGGTCCCAATCGGTACGATTTGACGAACCTCAAGCCGGGGACTTCTGCGCCGCAGTACACCTTCGGTTATCGACACTCGATGTGGAATCCGCCGATGATCATCCCGGGTGATAATTGCTGAACAATAAAGTTGGCTCCCTCTAATTGATCTGGATATCTGACGTTGCTATTCTTTTCTGTTGGGAATAAGTTGAAATTCTTAGTGATCCTTTGTTCACGATCAAACCTTATTTTGCATCTGTATTAATTTATACCACAACGCGTTGTGCTCTCCCCCTTATTCTGCGCCGTGATTCAGGTGACTCTCCATTTGATTTGCATTGTTAACCCTTTCCTTCCCACGGTAGCACAGGAGATCGACAACTTTTAGCTCCGTCTCATGTTTGTCAATCTACCATTAAGGCTCTGAACAATTTGGGGGATTATTTTAACTTTTAGTTAAATTTTGACAGCTGGAAAGTTATCGATTTACCCTGCTATCCGAGCGTGGTTACTTCTGACAGACAAGAAGTTAAATTTTGACAACCTTGGCTAAGTTCTTCTCGAAAACCGGTCAATCGACAGCACAGGGATTTTCGAACACACAGAATAACTTTCAAAATGTCACTTTTAACCACGAGTTAAATTTAACTCGGCAAATGGTTCACAGCCTAAAGCTGTGTTCAATTTGGTGATTTTTTACATAAATTTGAAACTTCGAAAATCCTTCTGTTGTTGATCGTTCGATTTTCGAGAAGGTGTTTGTCAAAATTTATTCCTGGTCTGTCAGAAATAAGTCTGATACAATAGCAAATGAACAAAAAAAAAATTGAAAATTTACCAAATGGAACACAGTGATATTAAGGTTTTCGAGCCACGGTTGTCAAAATTTAACTTCTTGTCTGTCAGAAATAACCACCCTCGGGTAGCAGGGTTAATCGATAACTTTCCATCTGTCAAAATTTAACTAAAAGTTAAAATAATCCCCCAAATGGTTCAGAGCCTTAATGGATTCGACATGGACAACTTTTTTGCTCAACACAACGAAAAACGGTTAAATTATAAAACGTGTAGTGTCAGCTCGCAGCATGGTGTAAACATGGTAATAATTTCACAACTTTTTAATTACCATTTTGACCGGGGCTGACCTCTCCTCACGAGGCTCCATTTAGGCTGTGAACCATTTGCCGAGTTAAATTTAACTCGTGGTTAAAAGTGACATTTCGAAAGTTATTGGGCCTTATTACGGGTGTCACTACACGGTGATAAGGAAGTGATACTCAGAATAAGAGCCGTGATTGCCGTACAAATCAAATGGTAATCACTTCACCGTGACGACAAGTGACAAGTTTTCACCGTGAAGTGACATCCGTAATAAGCCCCATTTTCTATGTTCGAAAATCCCCGTGCTGTCGATCGACCGGTTTTCGAGCCACGGTTGTCAAAATTTAACTTCTTGTCTGTCAGAAATAACCATGCTCGGATAGCAGGGCTAATCGATAACTTTTCATCTGTCAAATTTTAACCAAAAGTTAAAATAATCCACCAAATGGTTCAGAGCCTGACAGACAAGAAGTTAAATTTTGGCAACCGTGGCTCGAAAACCGGTCGATCGATAGCACGGGGATTTTCGAACATGGAAAATAACTTTCGAAGTGTCACTTTTAACCATGAGTTAAATTTAACTCAGCAAATGGTTCACAGCCTCAGTAAGGTAATAAGCAATCATTTTGATGCAATCATCACTCTTTCAACTCAATTCGAATTCAAAAAACTGTACAGGTGTGATTAAGAGGCTGAAAACGGTTTGTTTTGAAGACTTTTTCATAATTAAATTCCTCGTAGATACCGTTTAAAAATGACTTACCCCCCGGGTCATCATGTACCATTTGCTGTTGTAAAACGGTCGAAGCCCCTTGCATACATTTCGAAATTAATGTCTTGGTTTCAAGAAAGGAACATTTCTCTTAATTCGCACGCGAGATGCAGTGCAATATCCTCATCATCTCCGGTGGAAAACATGACTCGGACGGAACATCTGCAGTGCAAGCAAAATAGGGACCATATCGCGGTCACAGCTTTAGGCTCTTACAGCAGTGAAAAGGTACTACATATAGAATGTCCTCTGGATGTCACAAGAAAAAACAAAAAGTGTTAATAGCTGTGAATGATCTCATTTGCAAACCGTGGATGCTGAAAACAGGGAAGTAAGTAATTTATGATAATGTAGTCGTATTTTTACAGCTCATGTCTACCGTTATCGTTATCATGAATGCAGAGTGTTGTCCTGTGTTGTTCCAATGACATGAATCACATTGAAACTAAAATGGGCGTTTTGACTCGATCGCATTGTATTGACGTACATATAAATATAAGCTTGCATTAATTGGTGGCTTCAGGTGAAGTGGGTTCACCGGACGATACTGGAGAAATGGGAATTTTGGGAATTTCGGGAGTTACTTTCAAGGAAACTGAGTTAGAAACTAGGGCCCATCCATTAATTATATGTCACGCGAAATCGAGGATTAATTTACACCCCCCCCCCCCCACCCTAGACATAATATCTGCATCAACCCTTACGTGCATTTAAAGCTTGAATATCGGAGATACGGAGATGAATTAGGCTGTGAACCATTTGCCGAGTTAAATTTAACTCGTGGTTAAAAGTGACATTTCGAAAGTTATTTTCTATGTTCGAAAATCCCTGTGCTGTCGCTCGACCGGTTTTCGAGCCACGGTTGTCAAAATTTAACTTCTTGTCTGTCAGAAATAACCATGCTCGGATAGCAGGGTTAATCGATAACTTTCCATCTGTCAAATTTTAACCAAAAGTTAAAATAATCCACCAAATGGTTCAGAGCCTTAGTAAATTGATGCTGTTTTTATTCTGAACCTTCAATGTTCAAATTAGAAGATTCCATGTTTTATAAAAAAGAATTACTGACATGCAAAACGGCTTCTTCAAGGGTCGCTCGACCACGACAAATTTACTTGAATTTATAGAATATTCATTGAATGCAATGGGTAATGGAAACCACGTAGAAGCCTTATATACAGAGTTCAGCAAGGCATTTGACCGCATTGACATACCAATGCACTACTCTTGGCTGATTCAAACGTCTTGTCAAGTATCTTATAGTACTGAGAAGCAGCATAAATTGTGTTGAACGTGTGTTCAAGGTTGTCTTGAAAGGTTTGCCCAGTGGCACATCCAGTGGTGAAACCCTGGATCAGATCAAAGATGAATTGACAAAATTTCTTGGAGTTGAGCCAAAACAAGTAATCAAAATGAAAATGAATTCCTGGCAATTCACGCAACCGGATTACTAATGATTTTTATTTAGTTCACTTCAAGTTTAGTGAACTAAACAAGCTTAAGACCTTAGAAAAAGCTAGCCTTATGTTCCATGTCCGAGTGAAGTGGGATCACTTCAGGAAGACTGGAGGAAATTTCCCAAACCTCACCAAGTGCCGTTAGTGCCAGGGATGGGTTCACGTAACAAAAACTTGCTACATGCCAGCTAAATGCATGAATTGTGATGATCCCTCTCACGCAAAATACTGACTGTCTTGTGAGTTGTGAGGGAAGATCCTAAAAAATTTAAAAGTTGTTTAAAGTTGCGGTAAAACCACAAATCCAATTTTTAGGAATGTACATAAGACTACCCGCATAATCAAATACCATAAGCAGAATAAGTAGTATTATAGGTTTCCGATGTGTCATGTAGTTGCCATATGAGTAATCATTGTTTTAGAATACAACGATTTCTGTATTGGATTTTGTGAAGACAATAAAACTTTTAAATAATACTAGGGGTATGATAACAATAAAGAATATGTTCGAGTTATGTTTCTAAAAAGTATGCTTTCGCGTACGAAAACTGTGATGATCTGAATAAGATAATTGGATTTTATAGTGATGGTAAGGTTAATACTTGAATAGCGAGTAGTTTGGTAAGATTTTTGTTTTAAATTATCTGTTGTGCATTTTCAATGAAGAAAGACAATTATATATGTTTTATATGTCCGAAAACGCTAAAAAAAACATGAAAGTTGTCTCGCTTCATGGGTTATTCAGTTTAAGCTGCTGATAAAAATACTATTTATTTCGTCAATGGCTTACGTTTTTATTCCAACTTTTTTAATCTACATGAAGAATGTACTCTAGCTTACTTAAGTAAAATTCATTATTATATGTAATCTTGATGTGCTTTGAAACTGTATCGTCAACTTTAATCATGTACAAACAATCGTCGGCTATAGTGGCTCTATAAACACATACGCTCAATTTTTCAATTTCTATAGCTTTAAAAACAAAATAGATGCCACTATCATCTGAAATAACCTGCTGTATTTCACCGTAAATTAGGCCCTCATCATCCTTAGCAGAAAAATAACAATTATTATGGAGTTTTCTGTGGTGCTTAATGTCTGAGGTTCTCACTGTTACTGCTTTATATAGAAAATGATTATATCTTAAACGACGGATCACCTCAAAATGTCTATTATTACTGTATTTATTGATAATTGTGTCGGGTAAATCAAATTGTTCATCTTCTGTTTTGGTTCCTAATGATTGAAATGAATTCAGTCTTTGATAAAAATCCAAAACTTTAGGTTGTAAAAATTGTACATTAGTATTAAATCTACTGTGTGCCACAACACACCGATTAGCAATTTGTATGATTGGCTCCTTGGGACCTTTAACAAACTTTTTTAGTAGGCCATTAATATCTTCAAAAACGAATAACGAAAAAGCCCATAATGGACCGTAGTCCCTGGCGCAATCCACTAAGTGTAATAATAGGTGAACATTGTAAGTCATCTCGTTAATACCATATAATTCCTCAAACTTTCTCACGAATTTACGAAGACGTTTATCACATTTAGAGAAAACTGCAGCAGATATGTTTCCCTGTAGTAGATCAGTGACCGAAGACACTAGTAACATATGATGTTTATAATATTCTGCAGGTAAAGTAAAAAATAAACAGATGGGGCTGTAGTGAATACACCAATTCAACCATTCATTGGCCTTCCAATTATTCCGATCGCTTATTTTCCTGGCACTCCTGGAAGCCTCTGTGAACGGATTGATTGATTCCAGCATTTCATCAATATAGTTCAATTTGTTCTTGATATAGCTATGACTG